AACCGGGAACCCTATTCTACTCCATCATCCTCTCAAAAGGATGGTAGTTTTATCATAAGAGTCCATTCGCCCAAGGACTCGACACTACCAAGAGAGGCATCCGTTGCCCCTCCACACGTGAGTGAACCACCCAGTCATGCTTCAGAGGCATGCGAGAGAATCACCGAGGCTTCGGGTCTAAAATGCCCAAAGTCTCCACTCGATCCCTCTGCCAAATTAGGCTCTGAACCTATTAGGCACGAAATCGACAAAACACCGGTAGGCTCTCTAATTGGGGATGTCCGAGGATCTGGTGGAAGTCCCCGAGTTGATAATGCCAAATTGGTCACTGAGGGCGCCTTACACTCCAAGGCTACTAGGTCACCATGTGTTGGTGATCTAGGTTCCCCGAGTGCCTATGTAACGAAGGAAGAGTTACAAACTTTCACCACAGAGGTACTCAAGAGGTTGGATGAGTTGAAAAGCTTGTTCTCCTCCTCTCCGACAACAGAAGTACTTACACCTCTTACAGAGGCTCTTAAGGAGTTGACTTCTACAACTTCTGAACTCAAGGCGACCTTATCAGCCCTTCAGAGCTCTGTCCTCAACAAGGCTGATCTCACAGAAGCCTTCAGCGCGCTGTCTCTCAATCCTTCTTCCATCAACACTCTCAAGACAGAACTGACAGAGGTCGCTGCCCAATACGCTGCAGACATGATTGCCGCCGGCTACACGAACTACTCCGCCTTCAAGGATGAAATCAAAGAGATGTTCTCCTCTGCGATCACTGTTGGCGTCGACTCCTCATCCTCCAGGGCTAACATTAACCATCTAGCCACTCGCAGAGAGATAGACGCAATGGTTGAGGCCCTCGGGGAGACCGTGCAGAAACACCACGACCATCTTCTCAAAGAGGCCCGAGCTACTAACGAATCCATCAGAGACTGCACGAAGCAACTCGTCAAAGAAGGTCACTCATTCCGAAACAAAATCTATCGTTGCATCTCTACCATGAAATGGGCCACAGAGATTGATATCAACACCGCCACTCTGAATGCTGAAATGGTAATAGAAAAGATGGAGAAGGTGGCCTCCAGAGTTCTCAGGCGCTTGAAGAAGGCTCCCCTCACCTCGTGCAAGGCAGAGGCTACTCAAATCCATGATGATCAGGGAGGCAATGACCCTGATCGTCATGAGGGGGAGAAGAAGACAGAGCCAAGAAATCAACCTCTGCCAAACCACTGAAAATAGTGGATTCTGTTGCAGCCCTATTCTCCAAAGAAAAATCTCCAGAGCCTACGGGGAAAGGCAAGGGTAAAGTAGTAGAAGAGTCGCCAAAGAAAGGGTCTAGCTCTGAGACACTGGAGGAGATTAATGAAGATGAATATGACGACCCTGATCTGGTTCAAGCCCT